GTCCCTCCCTTTGCCAATCACTATGCCTGTCCTCAGCTCTTATTCAAAACACAGAATGTCAAAAGCAACTATTCCAGTGTGTATTACATAGTAAGCTACTACAGGCAGTCAGCACCCATATGTTGAATAGGACTGGAAATATTCATGATTTGAAAAATAATTTTTAAATGGGTGACCTCCTGTCAAAGCAAAACGAATTCCACTGTGTTTGAGCTTGGACAACGCCAAAGGGAAAAAAGAACCCTGGCTGGTCTGAGGTGCCTGCTGGGGTCGGGGCGCCGGCACACAGCCCAGCCCAGGGCGGGGCCTTACCTTGACAGCGTACTCTGCGTCGGTGGCCTTGTGCACACATCGCTTGCACACAGAGTAGGAGCCCACGCCGATGTCCTCCTTGATCTCATAGCCATCGGTGAAGTGGATGTTGTTCCCATGTAGCTGCTGGGAGATGGAGGTAGAGCGCGGGTCAGAGCTCTTGTGGGGCAGTGACGGGGGCAGAGCACGAGCACACGACACAGGCGCGAAGTGGGGGGTCCAGACTGTGCACTTGGGAACACTGGGGCCAGCAGTGAATGGAGTCCCCTGACCAAAGTCATAGGGATAGTAGCGATGGCTCCTGACCTAAATCCCAACCTCCCTGACCTCAGGTTCTGAGTTCTCAGATACCGCCGTGCACTGTGTCAGCTGACGGGCCACATTTTCCCCAAAGCTCTGAGAGCAGGGGCATCTGGAAGTGAAGGGGTGGAGCCCTGAGGTTCCAGGGCTGTGACTCTGATGCTTGTGTCCCAAGTGGGTATCTGGATGTCAACATCTAACTGGAAATCTGACCCCATGATGTCCCAGTCACAGCTGGCTTCTGCCTGTGCAGCCAACCAACCCTCCACCCACCTGCACCTTTTTCCGAAAGGTGCTGTGTGCCGGCGCCCCAAGGGCAGCACGCACCGTCACAGCAAGCGCCCATTTAGACATGCTGTGTTTTTCCAAAAGGCCTTGGGAGAGAAACATGGAAATCCAATGCCATCCAATTTACCCTGACTCGGTTTTTAGATAAAATTTAATCAGAATTTCTTCTTAGAGTTCTATCTGGTTATGGCTATAAGGTAGAAAACGCCTTATAAAAGTGTCACCACCACATTTGTTGACCTCCTAAAGGGTACATTTCACGACAGGACAATGGTATCCACAAACTGAACTGCTCTCTTGGGGTACTAGCTGGACTGCGCACTGTGGAGACGCCCAAGTGTGACAACTGTGGGCTCCGGCCGCAGCCCGCCTCCGACCTTCCCCTCAGGACTCTCCCTCCTTTAGGGTGAGTGTGAAGCAGGGAGCAGGCCACAGTCCAGACAGCAGGGCCGACAGCAGCAAGCCCGGGAGGCCGGGGGAGAGGCCGGAGCAGAGGGCCCAGTGAGCGTGTGACAGTGGTGCCGGCGCCTCCTGGCCCTGACCCGCTGGGGACACGCAGAGCCGGCACTCCCGTTACCTGCACGATGGGGTGGACTGTGGCTTTGTGCACATCTTGCTGCGAGGGCTCCTGGACCAGGGTGGAGGCCACAAAACTGAATCCTCTGAATAGGTGATGAGCGTTGGCGCTGGGGGGGACGCCAGGCGAGTCTGCAGGTCACAGGGACAGAAGTCAGCCTTCCGGGAGGAGCCAAGTGACAATGACCGT